GCGGAAGCATAGCTTGCAATGTGGCGGCGCTGGCCCGCTTATTGCTCGCCAGAAGGTCCGTCAGGGGGACAGCTCGCACAGAAGGGGCCCTCGCCAGGGTTTCGCCTCAGCGGGAGAGTGTGCTTTTCGGAGATCGGTGTTGCACGCTATCTTTCCAACGCCAACCGCAAGAGTGACCCTTCGCCGGATTGACTTTTGGTGCGGGCCCACTGAGGTCCCCCGATCGTCGAGAGCAATGTGATAGCAGCGGCTTGCACGCTCGGGTTTGGCCCCCTGGGTCTCCCCGAAAGCCGCGCACCAAAGGTCACTCTTGCGTGTAGCTGAGCTTGGGCCGCTTGGAAACGGGGGGAGAAGGCTTCTGGTGTCCGAGGACCTCACTTGTTCGGTCGGGGCGTGTGTCTTGGATCGCGAGCCCGGGGGCCCGTGATTGGGCCCCGGGGCCATCAGAGATGGACCCAGGGCAAAGCTTTGTCCCTGGAGAGTCGGGGGCGGACAGAACCCCCAATAGTGACACGTCGATGAGTGAATTGTCCGTTTTCGGTTCTCGAGAGGGCGCCGCGGCCGTTATTTTCCAGGCTTGCGCCCGCCAGGTGTTTTCACTAAACCACGTTTTACTAAAGGGAGGTCTGTCCATAAGAGAAGGGGAGTTGGGAGCTCTGGGACCGCGGGCTGAGAAGAGAGGTCAGATCGGCGGATGGCATCGAGAGCTTAAAGAGAACGCCCCTACCCTGGTTTACGAGGCGCTGTGCGCTGAACCTCCTGTGGGCTGACAGGGTAGACGCTGCGCATCGCGCGTGTCGCGCGGCGTCCTGACGGCTCTCTGGCCTTTGGGAGTTCCCAGGAGGTTTACAGACCACGCACTTGTAACCCAGGGTAGGGGCGTTTGTGTCATCCCTCCATGTCAGGGGTGGGGGAGGAGAAGAGGGGACCTGCATACGGTCCCTCTTCACCCCCCAAGCCTCGATCCGACTCGATGCTCAGGTCTCGATATTTCGCTCTCGATTCGATCCGACCTGGCTCGGGAGGGGAACAAAAATACACCGACACAAATAATCCCAGGAAGATATGGGGAAAGATGGGAAGTGAGGGGGGGGAAGACGAAAACCCGGAAACCCAGAACATATGGGAACATATGGGGAATCATGTGGTGCGTGTTATTTATTTGTGTCCCTGGGCCCCTTCACTGACGCGAGCCAGGTCCCTCTCCAGCCCGCAGGGGCTGCCAGCCCGATCGACGACCCCAGGCGATCCGACTTCGATCCGATGCAGCGACGATCCAGACGCGATCCGATCCGCTGCCGATCCGATTCGATTTTGCGATTCGATTTGCTCGGGTCCTCCTCCTCCTTCTCCTCCTCTTCCTCATCCTCCTCCTCCCTCCTCCTCCTCCTCTTCCTCATCCTCCTCCTCCCTCCTCCTCCTCGTCCTCCTCCTCCTCGTCCTTCTCCTCCTTCTCCGTCTCATTGTCCTCCTCCTCCCTCCTCCGCCTCTTTTCTCCTCCTCCTCCTCCTCCTCCGCATCGTCCTCCTCTTCGTCCTCGTCCGCCTCCGCCTCCTCCGTCTCCTCCTCCTTTTTTGACGTTGCGCCGCCTTGAACCCTCGGATGGTAGCGTTCTAGCCTGGGCAACCTGGGCAATATGGAAGAGTCTTGCAGCGTTCCGTGAGCAGTGCAAAACTAGGCGAATAACACCTCATGTCGAACGCAGACATCCTGTCTTGCACCACCATGTCACACTCACACGAGCGCGGAAGACCAGTCTCTTCACATCGCAGGCCTGCAGGCAAATGGACATGCACGGACGGTCGTAGCCGCGGCCGACCACGACGCTGCTGAGACAAAACACGTCAACGAGTTGCAGAGGCAGGAGAAAGCAGGAAAGCCGGGGGCAAGACAAGCCAGATTGCCCACAGTCAACCCGCATAGTCAGGACGGGTAACCTTCCCAAGGGTACCGTTGCATCCTTCCCTTTCGGCCCATTCTTGGCCGCTTTCGCTGGCCGCGCTCCGCTTGCAGAGTGTCGGCATGGCCTTCCTTATCACATCGGGTTGATTGCAACAGTTTATCGAGCAGCGCCCGCCCCGCAGGGCTCAGAGCACGGCACCCCCGGTGCCGCCCCGAGCCGGCCGCGGGGCGCCACCCCCTCGGACCGACGACTCTCACCCCCGCGCACCACCTGTGGCCCGGGCGCCCAGGCCGTGGGAAGGATGGGCGGGGATCCCCAAGTGATGAGCCGCCCGCAGGCGACCCGCGTCCCCGCCCGAGCCCCGACGGGGCACCAGGTGGGCCACCGCCTACGGGGACGCAGCGTGGCGACGAGGGTGCATAATCAGCTGCATCATCATCACCATCATCATAAGCAGCATCAGCAGCAGCATCAGCAGCAGCATCAGCATCATCATCACCACCATCAGCAGCTGCATCAGCATCAGCATCAGCATCAGCATCATCATCAGCATCAGCACCAGCACCATCATTATCATCAGCATCATCAGCATCGTCATTGCCATTACCATTCTCAGTATCATTATCATCATAGTAATCATAATCCTAATCAGCATCATCAGCAGCCGCATCAACAGCATCATGCATGTTCTCTCCCCCGGGCCCCTGCGGGCAAACAGGGGGGACGAAGGGGCTGCTGCCCGCCCGTCTTCCTGGGGCGCCCAGAAGGGCACCCAGTCGCACAGGCGCGGCGTGTTCTAATCTCCTCCTCCTCCTCCTCCTCCTCCTCCTCCTCCTTCTCCTCCTCCTGGTCTCTCTCCCCCTCCCCCCGCGCCTGTCGCTCCGCTTTCCCTCCCCTCCCCTCCGCTCCCGTCCGCTCTCCTTCTCACCCACCCGCCCCGGCCCTCCCCTCCGCCTCCTCCCGCTCCCCTCTCCCCTCCTGCTTCCCCCTGCTCTCCCCGCCCTCCTCCCTCCTTCTTGTCCTCCTCCCCTCCCCTCTCCGAGGCTTTGGAGGTTTCCGGGAGCTCCCAGGGGCTTCTGGGAAATCCTGGAGGCCAGAAGTAGTTTGTCTCACATCGTGTGCACCATGTAGCCCCCGCAGTCGCGCACACCAGTGACGGGACAGAGGGGCGTCGACAGTTTGCGAGGCTCCGAAGCAGATGTAAAGAAGACCGCCGCAGGCGCCGATTCTGTCCAGAACAGCGCGAGAATCGCACGGCGGATCGCGGGGCAGGTCGCGAAGGGCAGGTCGCGAAGGGCAGGTCGCGGGCGGGCCGCCGGGCCGGACGCGGGTGCGTCGCGGGGCGGGGCCGGCAACGAGAGCAGGGGTCCGCACCGCTTCATCGCACCGAGGCCACGCACCCAGGGGCAGAGTCAGACCGCTCGGCCCCCTCATTCCGATGCGTCGAGGGTCAGAAAGGCCGAATCAATTCTATGCACATGGCCATCTCTACACATACATGCACCCACATATATACGTACATACATGCATGCATGCATACAGACACACACGCATATATATATATATATATATATGTATATACATCCATATACGCATGCATGTAAATACATACATACATACGTACATACATACATACATACATACATACATACATACACAGGCAGACAGACAGATAGACAGACAGACAGACAGACAGACAGACAGACCGACAGACAGACAGACAGACAGACAGACAGACAGACAGACAGACATACAACCATACATACATACATACATGCATGCATGCATGCATGCATACATACATACATACATACATACGTCCATCCATCCATCCATCCATGCATGCATGCATGCATGCATGCATGCATACATACATACATACGTACATACAGAGACAGACAGATAGACAGATAGACAGACAGACAGACAGACAGATAGACAGACAGACAGACAGACAGACAGACAGATAGACAGACAGACAGACGGACAGGCAGACAGACAGACGGACAGACAGACAGGCAGACAGACAGACAGATAGACAGACAAAAATAGAGAGAGTCTTTCCTTCACCTATGCGGCAGTTTCGCGCCGTGTCGACGCAGCGGCGACCCCGCCGCGGGCGTGCAGGGTTGAACGCCGCCGGTGGCCGAGAATCGGCAAAGAAGAAGGAGCGACTGGCGATCGAAAAGCCGCCGATCGTGCAAGGCTCTGTACGATCCGCGTGGTGTCGCCGAGATCGTCACGACGCGAACCCGCCGTAGCTTCCTGCCCCAGAGGTGCCCTGGAGGCCCCAGACCTTCGTCTTCCCCACCCTCGCCCTCCCTGGCAGCACCGACGTTGAGAGTTGATGCCCGCACGCAAATGCATATTACAAGAGGAGGAGGTTTGCCTATTGCAGGTCGGCGTGTGTGGCCTTCTGGGTTTGCTCGGCGCTTTTGTGATTCGCACCGCGGTCATACATAGCCATTGCGTCGAACTCTCTTGGTCGCGCTCCCTCCTCCTGCTCCTCCTCCTTCTCCTCCTCCTCAGAAAACAGCAAGCATTACAAGAGGCGGAGGTGTACAAAGCTCGTCAGACCGACTCTCTACAGTCTTAAGTCCCGCCTTCCCTCCTGCCACATCCACCTATCGACCTGCAACCTCCGCAGCTTACAGCACCGTCGGTCGAGGACATCCACTTCCGCACATGAGGGCTCCAGCCCGCCCGCGCCGGCCTTCCAGGCCCCGTTACCCCAGCGGGCGCTGGCGCGCTCTGCTCTGCTATGTTCCTCCCCCCAGGCGGGGCGACGGTGGCGTTTTTGCCGCCGGGAGCGCCCAGCGAGCCGCTTCTTCAGAGGGGCTATGGCGGGTCGCGCCGCCGAGCGAGCGCTGAGGGCTTGGTTCCCGGGCGCCACGGCGGGGGCGGAGCGGCGCATTTTCGGACGGGGTCTCTGTTCCAGAGCGTTTTGCGAAGGCCGCGGCGCCCGAGATATCCTCCAGAGCCGCCAGTTCTCAGAGATTCTCGAATTACTCTTACCCGAGTGGGTCCTCGTTCTGGATTCGCCTCAGCGCTCTGCTCTGCTGTGCTCCTGCCCTCCCTTTAGCCTCCTGCCCCGGAGGTGCCCTGGAGGCCCTGGAGGCCTCGCTCCAGCTGGCCGAGCGCGGCGGGGACAGCGCGCAGGCGTCGCGTCTTCGCCAGAGGCCCCCCCCCCTCCCGGCGCGCCCCGGGTTGGGGTCTCGGGGGGGGGGGGGGGCAGGCAGACCCAGCTCTTCCAGGCAGGCTCTTCCGCGGCTCCAGGAGGAGGAGAATGAGGAGCGCCAAGAGGAGCGCCAAGAGGAGGAGAAGGAGGAGGAGGAGGAGGAGGACGAGGACGAGGACGAGGACGAGGGTGAGGAGGAGAAGGAGGAGGAGGAGGAGAAGGGGGAGGAGGGTCCAGGCGTTTGCTTTCTCATCTCTGGTTTTTCTTCGTCTTCGTTCTCTGCCCTCTGCCCTCTGACTACCCCCCTTTCTTCAACTGATCTCTACCCTCCGCTCTCTACTCCATGCCTTCAGGTCTGGCCTCCCCGCTCTTTGCTATCAACTCCACGCCCCCTGCTTTCTGCACTTTGCGCTCTATACCATGCCAACTACTCTCTACGATATGCTTGCTCCCGTCTCTCTCTCTCTCTCTCTATCACTCGCTCTCTCTCTCCCTCTCTCTCTCTGCTGCTTTTACTGTTTCCACCCTCTCTATTTCTTGTATCACTGATCTCTGTACTATCTGCACTCTCACTTCTTGCAGCGCTAGAACCCTGCCGCCCACCAGAATCAGTGGGAAACGTTCACCAAGACCCAGTGCTGGGAACCCAGGAACCCAGGAACCCGGTCGCCCACTAAAGTCGCCGGTGTGCCTTTGCCACGTTTTGCAACGCCAGGAGGAATTCCGGACCCGGAAATTGGACTTGAAAAGTTTGGGGAACCCGGCATTTCACCGAATTGTGCGCCCAACATCTGTATATCCGCGAGCATCCCTTCAGCGCACCCCCTGATTGACCTGGGAGATACAGCAGCCTGGCAGCGTATGTCACAGCTGTTCGCAGCCTTGCGCCCCAAGGGGGCCAGCGCAAATCACGTGAAAGATACAGCTCCTATCGAGACGCCCCTTTTGTCCTGTGTTGTCCTCCTGCTGATTACGGCTCAGGAGGGGGAAACACGCACAGACACAATTAATCTTCGATTCCCTTTTAAAAATATGGGAATTTGGGAAGTTGGGGGAAGACGAAAATCAAAAAAACAAATGAAAAAATATGGGGAATCCTGGGATTTGTGTGCATTTATTTGTGTGTCCCTGGGCCCCCTCAGTGGCTCCTGTCGCCCGCAGACGCCAAGGGCCAGACCAGCCAGACATCGACCTCCTCCGCTCTTCCCTTCCCTTCTCCCCCCCTGCCTCTCCCAGCCTCCCTCCCTCCACCCTCCGATAGACTCTGTCGCCGAGGTTGCAGGAGCTAGAGGAGGCCAACCCGTTTACCGCGCTGCTCTGGCGGCAGCAGAAGCAGGTCTGCCGTGCTTGTGGAGAAGGACGACGACGAAGATGCCGAAGGGGGTCTTGATGATTCGAGGAACGGCACTAACTGCCTGAAGTCGTGCGTGACCCCGCCCAGCCTTGTCCTGAATTTGAGAGGTTGGCCGTTAATGGGAGCTTGAAGATGCTGGGCGTGAACGTTGCTTGTCGTCCATCGGCGGCGAGCCCGGAGGGGAAGTGAGAAGTGGCGGGCCTTCTCGGAAGGCTCGGAAGTCCCCAAGCCTCCCCCGAAGATGGAAAACTTCTCAGCAGAAGGCCGGAGGGCTTCTCAGAGGCCCCGCCGCTCTCTGGGAAGGCCCCCCTCCCTCTCGCTTCCCCCCCCGCTCGCCGCCGGCCCACGGCCCGAGGCTGGCTTCGCCACCGCGGTTACTCTGATGTGTGGCCCCCTGGCAGTCGCAAGGCGGGCGGCTAGGCAGACTTGGGAGCGAGGGGGGTGCCACCGCAGTTACCATATCCAAGGGCAGCTTCGCACGGCCGAGACTGTCACTTCTAAGTCGGATTGGTTCATTCCAAGTGTGGTGTGCAAATTCTCAGAGGAGGAAGAGGTACCAATACCGCTACGCTTCCCTCGTTGTCCTCTTTTTTTTAGGCTTCCTGGGATGCCCTCGTCGCCACCGCTGGATTCGCCTCGAAATGTTGGTCAGAACGCACCTCGGGAGAGGTCCAGGGAGTAGCGGTATCGGTATTTTCTGGCTTCCCAGAATTATGTTGCTTCGGTCGGTACAGATGCTGGCGATGTCCGGGTGGTCAACTCGTGCAGGAGACGTAGGGCATCTCCTCACCCAGAAAAAGCGGCCCAGGAAAAACGAGCGCGCCATGGGCCAACCATCCAGGCGAAAGATTTGTTTTCAATCGGAGGCGCCCTCCATCCATAATCTTAGCTCTAAGGAATGCGCAAGGGTAGGAATGGAAAGTTCAAGGGAATGACCAACAATAGCCCCGCTTCGAAGAGGGGCCAGCCTCCACCACGAGTATGTTACACGATTTCGAAAGTTCTAGCATCCGACCTGAAGAAGTCTAAAGCGAGAGCCCCTGTTTGAAAGGAACCGCCCTCCACCGTGTAATACCCGCGCAAGCTTCAATACAGTGCATTAAGCTTTCAGGGTTTCCCGGGCAAGCCGAATGTTGCAATGCGCACACCCTCCGTCTATGTAGTTGTTGGGAACAGTGTGAACGAACGTGCGCGGCGCCAAGGCGAGAGCCGAGCTTACGAACCGAATCGCCCTATGCCCGTGTGGTCGGTAAGGAGTGTTATGTCGAATGTGAGCGGCACTACGGCGAGAGCCACATATCGACACCGACTGGCCCTCGATCCATGTACTTGTTCGGAGCTTTTAAGACGCATTTGCGCGGCGCTAAGGCGAGCGCCACATTTGGAAACATATCGGCCTTCGTCCGTGTGGTCACTGGGGACTTTGAAGGCGAATGTACCAAGCGCCAGGGCGAGAGCCGCAGCTGCTGGGGATGTCAAGCGCCAAGGTCATAAACGGTGAGGAAGTCTTAAGCGACACGCCCAGCTTGCCATACTGACATGTGTGGTGGTGCGAAGAGGAGGATGTCTTTTTAAGGAGATAGATGGAAGAGGGGAGGAGGACATGCAGGAGGAAAGGGGGAAATGAGAAGGATGAGGCAGGATTAGGAGGGCAAGGAGAGAGGGGAAGGAGAGGGTGGGGGAAGCAGAGAAGGAGGAGGATGCAGAGGAGGCAATTCGAGGAGCCAGAGGAGGAGGCCGAAGAGGGAGGACACCGGAAGGTTGAATAGTGGCTGGGTACGGAGGAGGTTTTGCAGTTGGACGGGGGAGGATAGGATATGGACAAGCAGTAAGACGAAGGGGACAGTAAGGTCGCGACTTGTCGACGCGGCTCTGGCCCACCCAAGGGCGTTCAAGGTTGAATGCCGCCAACGGCCTGGAATCGCCCAGTATCGAACGATCTCGGCTATCGGGATTCCGCGGTCGCTGAAGGTTGAACCGTCCACGCGAGGTCTGAAACGAACGCTGAAGTCGACACGGCACGAACCAGCCGCACGGGGGAGGAGAAGTGGGTCACGAGGTTGTTGGCGCTCCATGGACGTGCAGGGACTGCTCCCTTGTTCCCGTCCTCCTCGATCCTCATCCTCGATCTTCCTCCATACTGTATCCTCCTCTTTCTTTCCCCCTCTTCCTTCCTTTCTTCCCCCCGTCTAGATCCTCCTGCCCCCCATGCATCCCTTCGGAAGCGTTCGGTGATCTGTCCCGGGGTCTGCCTCCCGAGAGCGGAACTCCACACCGGCAGAGATGTGACACGAGATGGCGGTCGTGGTGCCCAGGCTTGGCCTGGCCTCCGTCGGCCTCCGAACCCGAGCTCCTGCCCCCCCATCCGCGTCCCGGGGTCGAGGCAGACGTGTCCCGAGGGAGGCCTGTCCTGGACCCCCAAGGGCTCTCCCCCCCAGTCGCTTCTTCCCCTGGCTTCGGGCTGGGCTGGGCCAGGGTGGCATAAGGGAGGCTGTCGGCCGGGCGGGGTCACCGCGCGAGCAGCGCCCGGTGGAGAGGGATGAGGAGGGAGGGGGAGGAGGAGGAGGAGGAGGAGGAGGAGGAGGAGGAGGAGGAGGAGGAGGAGGAGGAGGAGGAGGAGGAGGAGAGGAGGAGGAGGAGGAGGAGGAGGAGGAGGAGGAGGAGGAGGCGGAGGAGGAGGGGAGGAGGGAGGAGGAGGAGGAGGAGGAGGAGGAGGAGGAGGAGGAGGAGGAGAGAGGAGGTAGGAGAGGAGGGGGAGGAGGAGGAGGAGAGAGGAGGAGGAGAGGGAGGAGGAGGAGGAGGAGGAGGTGGGGGAGGGGGAGGAGGAGGAGGAGGGGGAGGGGGAGGAGAGGAGGAGGAGGAGGAGGAGGAGAGGAGGAGGAGGAGGAGGAGGAGGAGGAGGAGGAGGAGGAGGAGGGAGGAGGGGGAGGGAGGGGAGGAGGAGGAGAGGGAGAGGAGGAGGAGGAGGAGGAGGAGGAGGAGGAGGAGGAGGAGGAGTTCTGGAGTTCTGGGTATGGCGACAGTGTCGGTTACGATGGAAGCAGCTATGTACCCTGCTGCTTCTTTCTGGCCAGTTCGGCTTTACTACGAACCTTCGGCCAGAGCCCACGGGTGATTCGATCCAGGCAATCACGACGGTTACCATTGACGGCATCCTGACATACTGCACCTAGCTGTCTCAGTTGCTCTGACGCAAAACAGCCACACGCAGTACAAAACCAGATGCCCAACCCCGAATGAAATCTGATGACGTGCGACAAGTGAGCATATCCCCCCGAGATGTGCACCCGCATGCCTGGGGGGGGTCGCCTTATAATACCGTCCACGTTAATTAAGGAAAAACAAGGTGAGCTCAGCCACTCGGTTTTACGAGCATGGGAAGCAAAACCCTGACACCTGGAACAGCTCCTGGAGTTTTCCTTGAGACAATGCTGGGTCGAAAACATGGCACACACGCTGGCCGCTGGGGGCCGAACCACAGAAGAGGCATTCTGCTGACGCCTACGCCTGCGCCTACCCCCCTCGGCGGCCTCGAGTCTTTCCTCGGCATGGAGGGCCTCAAGGGTGCTCTGGAGGATACGCATACGAACTGCGAAAGCCTGTTGCTCTGCTAAATGGATGCGTGCACGTGTCGACTCAGGCAGGCGGCCCATATCGGCCCCTGCGGCTGCGAAGCAGTCGGCAAATGTATTTCCGATCACTAAACTGCGGGGGGCGATTCCTTTTACAATGTGTTCACTCTCGAGGTGAGAGTGAACAAAAAGGACTGAGCAATACACTTCATCCCCCCGCTGCTGCAAAATCTGACCTACCGTCCACCACAAGTCGGCGTCTGGCCCTGACGGGTGCAGCCAGCGCCTCTGATGCCAACCTGATGCCACGGTGTCGTTGTCCGTAACATATGCTATCTGACCTGACGCATGACGGAGCGAGAAAACTAGACAGTAGAGCTCACCTCTGGCCACGGTCTGCCTGGTGCCTGGGAGGGGGCTCCAAAGACCTAGGGTCAAACTCATGCTGCTGACGTCCTGGAATACAGCTAATCCAAGGCCTACTCTGCGCAGCAAAGGGGAATGGGTGTCGGGACCCCCACTAGCATCCCCGAAAATAAAGACTGGCCTACCTCTAGAGCTCTGAGCCGCTACCCCGAAGTCGAGGTTGTTGGACATAACCCACTGCTCAGCCTCTGGAGGGGCCTCTACCTGCAGCCAAGACCTAGGAATCAAGCCTCGAGTCCAATAGCATTCCTCAGACTCAGCTTGCACATACGCTTTGGCTACTAAATCTTCGCTAAGCTTGTACACAGGGTGCTCCGATCTGCTGCTGCACCCCCACACTCGATGGAAACTAGTCTCTGGAACAAGGCGGCAACGCGGGCATTTCACATCGAGCGTCTGCCGACATCTTGTCTGCCTCCTCGTGCGCGGCCACGCCGCGCCCGCAGCCGCGGCGAGAAGGAGCCCCGCAAGCCGCCTGCCGCCTGGCGCCAGCTCCAGCTGCTGCAGCAGGCGGCGGTAGGAGTGGTTGCACACCCCCTGCTCCATGCCCGCGCCGCCGAAGTGCCGCGCCGCTGCCTCCCACGAGCGCGCCTCGATGGTCGTGCGGAACTCGGCGAAGAAACTCTCGGGCACGTCCAGCACAGGGTGACCAGTCATGCTAGACTCGTTGAACTGCCACTCGGAATCGCCGTCTGGCGTGGTCCACACGTTCGGCGCCTCGGGCTTCCAACCCGCGTCGAGGAGGTACGCAATCGTCGCGCCTTGAGGCCCACGTATGTGACGACAGCGAACAGCAGGGGGTAGCGCCGAGAAATCAGCAACCAAGTCCGTCCATGTTCGTGAAATACCTGCTCTCAACGCCGGTTGTGAACTCCACATGGCAAGCCACATTCTCAACGTATCGCATGGCAACTTGTACTGAGGGTCGCGGTCGGCAGCCTTCAAGTCCAGTACAGTGGTCACGCAGCGGCCTGTGAGGCGTGG